TATATATATATATGTATACATATATATATATGTATACATATATACATACATATATGTGATTGACATTTAACCTGTGAAACTTTGTCACATACAGAGGCAGACTGACTCCAAAGAGCAGCTCACAGTTCTGATGCATTTCTGACTCAACATTAATGAACGTACTGTTAACTAAAGCTAAACCTTTTTAACCTCACTGGGTCTGGATGAGGTCAAAGACAGTCCTTCTGTGACCTGTAAACAACTAATGTAATTATGCATCTTTACAGCCTGTTCAGTCGTTTGTTGCCCGTCTCAGCTTCTTCGAAACATGCTGCTAGCTTTAAATGTGCCACGTTTGTTGGATGAAATCCCGGAGGAGGCCTGGGATGAAACTTTGTCAGATCAAATGTGTGACGCTACCTGCTGTGGTGACTCACTGCTGAATACGCGAGTAGCCTGTGAAACGAGCAGCGAGCAGACTTGTGCACAAGTTGGGAAGGAGCCATACACAGAGCCTCACGGAGCCATTTCTAAACACCTGCAGACTCCAAGATAAGCAGTTCAGACAGTTATTCTGATGTGTAACCACTTTGCCAGGGTAACTGTCGCTCTCAGATGAGAGTAACTAGGTTAGGGTGTTCGGGAACAACCCAGGAAACATCAAGCCTGCCATGACCAGGAGCCACGTGCCTCCTGAAAAACGTTTTGCCTCAGTGAGAGAGGCCATCCTGCAGGAGTCGAGGCTTTGCAAACCTAAGAACACCAAAGGTCAAGCATGGTGGTGGCATCATGCTCTGGGGCTGTTTGGCTGTCAGTGGTACAGGCACAAAATGGATAGCATAGTAAAGACGGAGAGGGACATCCATATTCTTCAACTTCTCCTCGAATCACAGCTCGATGGCTGAAACATGGACATAATAGTTTCAACACAGCAGGGATCCCAAACACAGGAGCAGGAATGGATAAAGCAAAGCTAACAGTAAGCTCCAGGGTTGGGCTGACGAGGTCCAGCCTGCTAATGGACATATATCTAAACATCAGTGGGTGTGTAACTATAATAATATTACATTTTATTACAGCAACAGTAAAAACAGCAAAATAAAATGTAAACATAAGGTAACTCTAGATTATATCTCAACATCAGCAAAACTAGAGAGATGATAGTGGACTACCGGAAACGACCAGTCAGGGAACACCAGCCCATCCACATCAACGGTGTCAAGGTCGAAAGGGTCAGCAGCTTCAAGTTCCTTGGAGTCAACATCACCGAGGACTTCTCCTGGACCCTTCACACAGACACTGTTATCAGGAAAGCTCGCCGGCGGCTTTACGTCCTGAGGAGGCTGAGGAAGTTTGGCATGAACGCCAACATCACCTCAAATTTCTACAGGTGTGCA